AACAACAGTCTCTGATAAGGAGGCTCCCTCTAACAACAGTCTCTGATGGTGAGACTCCCGCTAACAATAGTCTCAGATAAGGAGGCTCCCTCTAACAACAGTCTCTGATAGTGAGACTCCCTCTAACAATAGTCTGTAATCGTCAGGCTCCCTCTAACAACAGTCTCTGATCTTGAGGTTCACTCTAACAATCGTCTCTTATAGTGAGACTCCCTCCAACAATAGTCTCTGATAGTGAGTCTCTCTCCAATAATAGTCTCTGATAGTGAGGCTCCCTCGAACAATTGTCTCTGACAATGAGGTTCCCTCAAACAATAGTCTCTGTTAAGTATGCTCCCTCAAAGAATAGTATCTGATACTGAGACTCCCTCTAACAATAGTCTCTAATAGTGAGGCTCCCTCTAAAAATAGTCTGTGGTAATAAGGCTCCCTCTAACAATAGTCTCTGACAGTGAGGTTCGCTCTAACAATTTTCTCTGAGAGTGAGGCTCCCTCTAACAATAGTCTCTGATAGTGAGACTCCCTCTCACAATACTCTTTCATACCTAGACTCCCTCGAACATTAATCTCTAATACTGAGACTGCCTCTAACAATAGTCTCTCATAGTGAGGCTCCCTCTAACCGTGGTCTATGATATTGAGGTTGCCTCTAACAATAGTCTCTGAAAGTGAGGTTCCCTCTAACAATAGTCTCTGAAAGTGAGGTTCCCTCTAACAATAGTCTCTGATAGTGAGGTTCCCTCTAACAATAGTCTCTGACCTTGAGGTTCCCTCTAACAATAGTCTCTGATAGCGAGGCTTCCTCTCACAAGAGTGTCTGATAGTGAGACTCCCTCTCACAGTAGTCTCTGATAGGAAGGCTCCCTCTAACAATAGTCTCTGATAATGAGGTTTTCTCTAACAATAGTCTCTGATAATGAGCCTCCCTCTAACAATAGTCTCTGATAATGAGGTTCCCTCTGACAATAGTCTCTGATCTTAAGGTTCCCTCTAACAATAGTCTCTGATAGTGAGGCTCCCTCCAACAATAGTCTCTAATATTGAGGCTCCCTCCAACAATAGTCTCTGATAGTGAGACTCCCTCTAACAATAGTCTCTGATAATGAAGTTCCGTCTAACAATAGTCTCTGATAAGGAGGCTCCCTCTAACAATAGTCTCTGAGAAGGAGGCTCCCTCCAACAATAGTCTCTGAGAAGGAGGCTCCCTCTAGAACATAAGTACATAAGGAATAGGAGGAGAAGGCCATCTGGCCCCTCGGACCTGCTCCGCCATTCAATAAGATCGTGGCTGATCTTTTCATGGACTCAGCTCCACTTACCCACCCACTCACCATAAACCTTTAATTCCTTTACAGATCAAAAATCCATCTTTGCCTTAGAGACATTCAATGAGGTAGCCTCAACTGCTTCACTGGGCAGGGAATTCCATAGATTCACAATCCTTTGGGTGAAGAACTTCCTCCTCAACTCCGTTCTAAATCTGCCCCCCCTTATTTTGCGGCTGTGCCCCTTCGTTCTAGTTTCACCTGCCAGTGGAAACATCCTCCCTGCTTCTATCTTATCTATTCCCCTCAAAATTTTGTGCGTTTCTATAAAGTCCACCCTCATTCTTCTAAATTTCAATGAGTATCATCCAAGTCCATTCAATCAGGAATCTCTGATCGTGAGAACATCAGCAAAAGACACCTTGCATTTCAGTTTCACATAGTAAGACCCCATGAGGTTTATCACAGAAATATTATTTCACAAATTAATTTGGTTTTAACTCATAAAGCGCTATGAGAATAGGTACCCCAAATCTTGGTCAAAGAGAGAAATGTATAATAAGCATCTAGCTGCAATCTCTGAAGAGAATGATAACATTTAAAAGAAATTCAAAGTTTCAGGTAATAACTGAAAGAATAATCCATCAAGGTGTAACTCCTTAAGGCGAGCTATAACAAATGAGATAGAAACACTATCCAGTAAACCATATTTCTGTCAGTAACCTCTATTTTTAACCATTGAACAGAGACTTTTGTCACCCCTTTTCCTTATTCTTTACCCAAATAAAAAATATACACTTCAACAGGATACTTTATAATGTCCTTGTGTCGGTACTTAATTTTTCCAGGGTCAATCTCGTTGTCAGATTCTTAGTTCCTCAGGATTTCTATTCTTTCCTCAGCCTGGTTACTTGCAAATTTAGAATGGCATTCCTCGAGAGGTTTTCCTGTCCCAACAAGCCTCCCACTCTCTCGAACTGGGTAACTCTCCCACTCTTGTTTTAACTCCAGATGAGTTTGGTCTTTTTAACTGGAACATGGGTTTTCATCCACAGTACTGCATAGCAAAGACTACTTTTGTCATCAAGCTCTATCCTATGCCAGGAAAACCTGTAAATAAATTATCCCAGTATGAAGCACATGGGCCTTGTATCTCGATAGAAAGGAACACTCTATGGCCCAATTCCCTTCCAACTTGGAACTAAATAGAAAGATTCAAGCATTGCTGTTTGAAAATCAACGTTCTCAACACTTTTCTGCGACTTTGGAGACTCCATTGTTAACACACATATTGTCACAGGTGCCATTGTCCTCAAGTTTAAAAACACCATAGACCTTTTTCCTAGTGAAGGAATCTGAACCTCGAATTAATCTCAGGTTTTGTTTTCAGGGAGACTTCACGTAAACTCTTTCATTTTTACCTTAAGTTTAAAATTACTCTTCCAACCTTACCGCAGGACTGTAACTTCTTTAGAGGAGGTGACAAGAAGAGAGCTTTAGGGAGGGAATTCCGGAGCTTCAGACCCAGGCAGCTGAAGGCCTGTGGAGCAATTGCAGTGGAACATGGTCGAGAGGGTAAATGAGACAATCACAGATCACTGGGAGGTGATGGGGATTGGGTGGGGCGGTAGGTGGTGGTGGTAGTGAGGGGATTGGTGGTGAGTGTGGAGGTGATGGTGGAGTTTCCTTACTCGGAGGATGGTGAATCCCTGGAGTTTGTGACCGCAGAAAGCCGCAGAAGCCCAGTCATTGAGTATGTTCAAGAGATGAATGGATTTCTGGAGATTAATGATGTTCAGTGATACGGAGAGAGTGTGTGAGAAAGTGGCATGGAGATAGATGAACAGCCATGATCTGGGATGTTGGAGCAGACTTGTTGGGCTCAATGGCTGTATCCTTTGTTCCAATGAGGCTGGAGGGGGTTACAGAGATTGGGAGGGAGTGACGTCAAAGAGGGACATGATAGCAAGGATGCGGATTTTAAACCGAGGGCATGGGAGGGTGACTGGGGGGAGTGCATGCTGGTCAGTGAGTGCTGAGATGATGAGTGAGTGGGGCTTGGTTTACAATGGGACACTGAAGCTCAGTTTTGTTTGTTCGGGCAGAGTTTACTCCTGCTCTGGTTTTCAGTCTTTGTCAGTCTGGGACATCCTGGAGTGGGACTTGAACTCACAACCTCTCGATCCAGAGACCTGAGAGGTTGTTCCCTCGACCCTGGGTGATGTTGTGATAGAAAAGACCAAGGAAGTGAGACCCACCTCTCTGCATTAGTAAGATTCCGCGCTTCTTGTATGATCTCTTGGAGCAGGACTGAAACATTGTCTGCAAAAGACAAACAGAAGATCACAGCGAAACTTTATCCACGGAATCGTCAGAAACAGTTCCCATGGGACAGAGCTATGTTCTGCAGCTCTCCAATGTGCGGAGTACAGCTCCACAGACACCCAGAAGCCTCCAAATCTCAGTCACCATTGTGTTGTGTCACTTCACATTTGGAGAGTAGCCAAATAAAGCAATAGCAGACATAAAACCCAATTTTCAACCTGGAATTCAGAGCACTGGGAACACTCCCACCGCAACCAGCCAGAATATCCAAGTACAACCCAAGGCACACAGACAAACACACACACACACTCTCTCACACACACACGCATACACACACGCTCATATATGTAGACACAAACACACACTCATATATACATATACAGACAGATACACACACACACACACACACACTCATATATATAGACACTCACACAGACACACACACACACACACACTCATATATATAGACACACAAACAGACACACACCCAGACACACACTCATATACACAGACACACACTCATATATACATAGAC